TATCTATCTATCTATCTATGATCTGTGATGTTACAATTCAGTTTGTACACATATTAAAAATATATTAATCATTATTACCACTTAATATTAAATGGTGTTTAAGTGTTTGTTTTGTCAACATTGTTGTTGTCTTTTTTCACTATTTTATGATCTTTTGTAGGGTTGAGGAAAAAAAACAAAGCTAAGCATTGTGATTATTTTATTGTTTACCACTTTTATATGCAGTACAGCAATGATGCTGCTGAAATCAACATTTTTTGGGGGAAATTTGATAAACAGTCTCTAGAAGTCTATGATTCAACTTTTTCCTATGGTCTTGGGTTAAAAAAAGCAAACAAAAATCTTAAGTGATTAATAGATAATTAATGACCTAAGGCTGAAATTAGTGAAGTTAATTCAGATGATATGAATAGTCATTACTCCAAATATCTTAATGCCCAAGTACAGGACTGGTTAAATTTTTCAGTACTTGGGATGAAAACATATTTTTCCTTCTTTATGAGCTTTAAATTAACATGGTTGATGAGGTAGGACATAATATCTATTGACAAATATGTTTAAATGGAGCAGGGAATAAATCTAATACACCATTATGTTCAACCAGCTGCTTCTAAGTTGCTTCTAACTCTCCTTTTGAGTGCCTCTGCAGCACTATAACTCTATACTAGATTATTCATCATGAGGCAAAAACTGCCAGAATGAATCTGTAATCTGTGTGTCCTGTTCTCTGTAGGTCAATTCTGACAGGACTGTTCCCACCTACATCAGGAACAGCTCTCATCAACGGATATGACATCCGCACTGACATGGACAGCATCCGACAGTACTTGGGAATGTGCCCACAGCACAATGTCCTATTCAACGAGTGAGTGAATTTAGCAGATCCATCTTTGTTCTCACCTGGTCATTGGTATAATCATGTTTTGCCTCTGGTGTGTTTAAAAAAAAAAGAGCAAGAAAGAAAGAAAAAAACATCATTAAAGTGCATTTTAATCATATACGTAATGAGGGTTCAGTCTCGGCTAATGTTTCACAGCAACACGTCATTATCCCTTTCTCTTTTTCTTTTAAAAAATTATATGAACTTTGCTCACTTCATCCACTAAATTTCTCATAATAGCATCATTCCCAACCATTATTCAGTTTTTTTTTATTTCACCTTTAGATTCCCCTCTATTTCTCTCTCTCCACAAGCTGATTGCCTGCAACTCGACAGTCCTACATCATAATTACGGCTGAGCACCTGCAAATTACCTTCATAAATATTAATCCCAGACAGTCAAAGCATCTATATTGAGTAGGGTTAAAATATTCATGCAAACATAGACGTAGACATATTGTGTTTGGAAGAAATTCAAGACTTTTCTTTACGTCAGTTCACAGAAAGAGCGGCATCATCTTGCACGATGCGTGAATGTGACATTTTCGATATTTCAAATGCTTACATATGAATAAGTGGCAGGTGATGCACTCTTTGGTCACCCATGCCTCCTCACATGTCAATCAAATTGGCCGTTGTGATATTACTTCCACCTTTGCAGGCTGACAGTGGAGGAACACATCTACTTCTATGCCAGGCTGAAAGGACTCAGCCGCGATGAAGTGAAAATTGAGATGGACCAGATGATTAAGGATGTTGGTTTACCACATAAGCGGAAGGATCTCGCTAAGAACCTGTCAGGTGTGTCTGTATGTGCATATGTTGACATGTTTTGGATGTGTGCATCTCGGAGTTGAAATTATGCGGAGATGTAAATTTTGTTTTTGATGTGTGCATCAGTGTCTGTGCTCGGCATTCATTTCCCCTGGGAAGGAATATCATCCGTAGATTATCCTTTCTGTTCAGGATAAAGCTGCCCTATTATGCCATTCCTCTGCCAGCACATATGCATGCGGCTGTCTTGACGTACACATGCACTGTACCTGTGTGTCACAGGTTGTAATTCATTTTCTGGGGGGCATGAGCAAGTCCTGCTTGATAAATTGTTCCCAGTCACGGATTGCTTGTGAGCAAAATCACTGAAATATGACTTTCAAGGTTGATCTATGCTGACATTTCCACTACATTAGCACTACATTGGATGCATTTTGAAGAGCTCGCTATGAGAGTGGAGACTGAAATCACCTGAGTAGGGTGTATCTACTTCCCTGCCATCGATCATTTTGCACCTTGCAAAAGACAATACAACCTGGAGAGGTACATCTCAACACATTTATTCCGTAATCACTTCCCAATATTGTGTCCATTTTACATCTGAAACCTAATCTTGACGGATGGTTGTGTGCGATTTCTCACCGATTACAATCAGAATGTCTACTCTCCAGGACAAAGATGGGAATCCATTTCATGTCAGCTGCATTTTATTTTTTACATTTTTTGTCATAAGAGCATGTCCATGACAAATTATATCACTGAGATACTTGTAGCTGATGCAGATTGTTCTGTCTTCTAGGTGGGATGCAGAGAAAGCTGTCTGTGGCTATAGCATTTGTCGGCGGCTCAAAAATCGTCATCCTAGATGAACCTACAGCAGGAGTGGACCCCTATGCCCGCAGGGGTATCTGGGAACTGCTGTTGAAGTACAAGCAAGGTAAGGGATCAGTGGTAAGAACCAAGGCTCTGCTAAAAACTTTAAAGCATGTTTGTAGAATTGACTGGAAAGCACAGAGCCCATGTTTGATCTGTTTCAAGCTGAAAAACTTTTCAAAACTGAGCTGAGCTCAAGGTAACTTTTAACTGACGTGGCTCAAATCTATCCAGTATGAGAGCTGTTAAGGTAATGAACCATCTAAAGTAGTTTTTCTTTTCCTTGCTCTCTCTGACATTCAATTGGGGGG